TTGATGTTGTGTATTTTACTCGTATTTTAGCACTTTAATTCACAAGAATTCATAGCATAATCATGCATATCTTTCATGTTTTTAATAAATTTTTATATCATTTTCCTATTTTATGCTTTTCTTGGTATGTGTTGTGTTTTCTCTGAGCAGGATCAAGATTTAAGAATTAAAGAGGAAATGCTGAGCTACAGGGAAAATCACGGCCGTGATTCTAAATCACGCCCGTGATTCACCAGAGAAAATCACGGCCGTGACTCCCAATCACACCCGTGAACGCCACTGACCCTTCATAGATGTGCTCCAGAGAAGATCACGGTCGTGATTCTCAGTCACGGCCGTGATTCACTTCGCGTCCCAGCTTTTTAAGTTTTATGTTTTATTTTTATTTTATCTTTGTAATTTTTATCTTGGTACTGCTCCACCGCTTAAGGAACCTGAAGATGCAGCTGCTGATTCAGCTAGTCATATGGAGGCAGCAACCCAATCATATGCTGCTACTATTGAAGCTGGTTTGGGGGAATTATATGCTGCTGATTCAGCTAGTCAATATGGAGGCTGCTGGATATGACTGGGAAAAGGGCTGCATGGATCCGGTTAAGGCTAAACCTTCTAAGCCTAAAAAGTCAGCTTCGGATAGGACTAGAACTCGTGCAAGAGCAAGAGCTTCTAAGTCAAATAAGTACTCATGATATGTGTAGTATTTTTTGACTGGGCACTAGATATGATATTTTTGATTTGTAGAGTCATGTCACATTCAAGCAAATTTTTGTCATTTGTCTCAAATGACAGAACCATAATGAACCATTATATGCTTAAAAAAATGACAAACACAATAACCACACAATGTTTTACTCAACAACAGAGAACCATGACTAAAGAACTGTTGCACACATATGCTTCTTAACAGTTGAGTCCTCATATGTTTCAACTGAAATTGAAGGTCTTTGTCCCCATTCATTATATTGCACCTTTGCTTTGCCATATGATTGGTCACTTCCTTTTGAATCCAGCATGATATCTTTATTACATCTGGTGGATCAACACTAATGTTCAAACATAATGTTTATTACAAAATTAGGAGTTAAAACAGAGCATACTTCTTTATGCCCATGTGTTTTTCTGCCACCGCAACCCAAAACTTCACTGATTACTCTCTGCTTATATCAGACCTACCCATCTCACAACTCCAAAAGAAGACAAAGCCCACCGACTGCCTTGTGCAAGAAGTACAATTCATTTTCCTTTCTTATTTTCTTTGGAGAAGTTTATCTAAACAACCCTATAAACTAATTTATTAAATTTTACTTCGGATTAAAATTGAATAACTAGTAAATAGATTACGCATATTAAAGAAAGAGGCTATGAACTAATTTGAGTAAAGCACATGATACTCACATTTAGGAAAGAACTCTCCAATCCTTTTAAGCTTGTGAAGTGTCAGAATCAAAGGATAAAGGATAACAATTCTGACCGCCAAAGTAGAGGAAACTATAGTAATCCACCTGAAATTCAATTACTGGATTAACACGAACGTTCGTTTCAGAATCAAAAACTGAACAGAGAAACAAATGTTACAGTAGCAATGGCAACAAGAAATACGAGACCTAGAAGCTTACCATGGAAATCCAGAAATATCGTGGAGTGATTCGAGCAACCAAATCACCGCGCGAATGGGGAAAACAGCGTCGTCTTCACCGCCGCCACTGCTATCGGTGATTGTTTTCAGAAGATTTAAAGGACCTTCGCTCCTGGAGCAGTGCGTCTCGTCGGAGCAGGCAAATCGCAACCCCGGTATAGTGTCGTCCACTACAGCGATTGAATGGACCAGTGCGTTTCGTTGCTCCTCCAAGGACCGTCGTTGCTCCTCCAAGGACCGTCACTCCTGGTGTACGTTCGCAACCCTAAAATTCCGTAGGCAACCCCTAAGAAAGTTTGGCAAAGCGTTTCAGCAACCCCTAATACAATGCAGTTAAAACGCTGCGTTTTTTTTTGTTTTACTTACCTACGGAATTTTTTCCGTAGATAACTAAAATTTACCTACGAAAAAAATTCCGTAGGTAATATTCCGTAGATAACTAAAAATTACCTACGGAAAAAATTCCGTAGGTAATATTCCGTAGATAACTAAAAATTACCTACGGAAAATATTCCGTAGGTAATATTCTGTAGGTAATAACATTTTTTCTTGTAGTGTATATTTTGTACATAGAAACATAGTTATTATTATTTTTATATATACCTGTATGTATGAGTTATCCAGTTTTAATATATTTTCTTAGTCCACTAGTATTTAGTGCGATTTCACTGAGTGTAAGGATCACGGTGGGTCGTTACAAATTATATATTAAATGTAATTTTAAATTCACACAATATACTTTCAACTAAAAAATTTGTTATGCTACTCATAATTAATAATAATTGCATAATATTTTTTGTATTTTATTCCTTCACAATGAAAAATATAATTAAATTTAATCTCTTAATTATTAATTAATATAATTATCTGTATAATTAATAATTTACTAATTAAATACAATTTAAATCAATTTGTTAATCAATACAAATATAGAAGGATAATAAAAATAATATTATACAAAATGTTATATAGATAATATATCATTGTCACTTTAATAATTTATTTTTCTTTCATTTTCCTGCAAAATAAATAGTTGTATTTTAACAAATAATTTAAAATTCTAGTTCAATGTAAGTAGTTAATAAATTAGATAAAGTGTCTGATAAATTGAGAATAGTAAAAAAATGAAAAATAAATAAATAAATAAATAAAATTCTATTACATCTTTCTTTCTTATATGTTCTCCATTACATTTTTTCTATGCTCTATATCATCTCTAATTCCTAATTTTAATCTAAATTAATAAATCCAATCATCCACTCTTATTTAAAATAAATAAAAAATTGTTTAAATTTTATATGTAAAACTAGAAGAAAAAAAATATTTTGTTGGCAGTTAATTAATATTTGTCAAATAACTCTTTGTTACAAGTTAAATAAGTAAGCAATTATGAAAGACGAAAAAGAAAAATCTTCCTGGATCATCCCTACCACTAACCTCAACAACAACTTGATGTGATGTGAAATTAGAATAAGGAAATGAAGAGGTTGGTTAGATTTTGAAACTTCAGGAAAGTGAGAAAATGAGTTAACCCTACTAGTACTCTCTTCACTTTCACTCACTTGTATGCTTTTTTGAATGGATGCTGACTCGATATTTCTTTTCTTTCCATATTCAATCCCAACAAGTGCAATTATGGTATTTTCTTTTCTCACTTTTTTTTTTTTTTTTTTTTAAGAAATTGCTTGCAGGTTTCAATAAACTGCGATCTTTTTCCTTTGCGATAATGCGTACTCTGCTGCTTGACTAATGATTAGGGGCTCATATTTGACATGCTATGCTCACACGGTTATTAATTAGGAGGAATTATTAGACTATTGTGGAGCATATGTTTCCTAATTATACAATTACACCAAAATTATTTTTTTTTGTGATTATTTTATTATTTAGTACTCATATATAATTTTTTTTTTATCAACAATTAAATAATGGCTAGTAGTGTATTTAGGATCACTAAAATTATTACTGATATTTATATAGAATGTTGGTAAAAATCCACTAAATTATTAGAAAAATTTTTTTTAGTGACAATTCTAATAGTTATCTTAAAAGTTATTAATTTTTTTTTTAATTATCTCATTCTTATAGTGACTTTTATATATTGCTTTAGTTACTTTTATCTATTGCTTGACTAATGATTAGGGGCTCATATTTGACATGCTATGCTCCCACGGTTGTTATAAGGAATTATTAGACTATGGTGAAGCATATCATTCCTAATTAAACTCCACAAAAAGATTAAAAAAATATATATAAAAAAAAACTTCACATAGAGAAATTATTAGATAGACAAATAAAGTGTTACTAGGATTTTTGTAAATCGAAAATTTCAAAATGCATGTCATATAAATATTATTTGGACTATATATATTTGATGCTTCAAAACTATATAATAATTTATTTTTGTTATATACATTTGACGGTTCAAAATTATCTAATTTATTTTTGTGACATGAAATCATGTGCTTTTAATTGTATCTCAAACTTAAATAAATATCCTACATTAAGTGGTGATAGACAAATTGTAGTGTCTATCTATTATGGTGCCTTTGCTTTATTTTCCACTTGAGTTTCCTTCACATTCTTTTTTACTTTTTCTTCTTTTATTATACATTAAAGCAAAGTTCACACATAAGATGCTCCAAATAAAAGAAAGCTAACTCGATTATTTTTATTTGCTCTCAATTCTCTTTTACAGTTAAGAAGAAATATTTAATTTTTGCCATAATAATATGTTTTGGAGGACCTAATGCTCATGCTAATAAAACTTTGACAAATTCGTCATCATATTGGAATAGGGAAGTTGGTGCTCCATTTCTGCAAGAGAAATGCTGAGAAGAGTCTGCCCTCCAATAATAAATGTCGTATTCATTCTTTTAATACATAATTAAGAATAAATAGATGAAAAGGATAATAATTTTTTATATTTAACTTTATTATTAATGTTTTATTAGAAATGATAAAATATAATATTAAAAATTATAAAAAAAATATAAAAAATAATTAGTTTTATATTGAAATGCTGAAATGTTAATATCTTCATCCCTATAATATAATATAATGTTTTTTACATTATTGTTTGTTCTTTTTGATAAACCTCTGATTGTCTCTTGTATTAATTTTTTTCCCTTTATAATACCCTTAATTAACCATTTTTTTAGGGAAAAATTAATAAATGTTGAAATTCAATGGGATAATTTTTTATATATATTAAGATTGAAGAAAATGAGTGGACATAGTTTTCAAATGATTAATATTCTCTTTTCAAACAATCATTAAGTGAAAAACAATTAAATGGAAAGGAAAAGTATTACTTTTAAAAATTCTTAAAAATAACTTTGCAAATGCAATTCAGAAGACTGATGTTTGTCATTAGTCACTAATAAAACCAGGATGTAGGTGATCATCTTATAGAAGAGTAATGATATTCTAGGGTGAAAATTAAACAAAGATGAGAGATAAATTAAATAAAACGTAAATGTGTAATATAAAGAGTAGAGAAGGAAAAAAAAAAAAAAAGTGAAAAAAGTAGTACCTTTTTGATAATGATAATGATGATTGTAGTGGAATAAAAATTAGATAATAGAGAAATTACCGTTATATTAAATGAAACGTGGAGAGATGTAATATATAGAAGGTAAAGAAAAAATATAATAGAATATAAAAAATTAGAAAATTTACAACATAGGCAAATAAGTTGACATGATAACATACAAAATTAGTTTTATAATGATGTGTCAACGTAATAGAGTGTAGCTTAACTTTTATATTATAAATAGATAGATAAATTGTCATGTGAGATGAAAATTAAACAAAGAGGGTGAGAAGTAGATTAGATAGAACGTAAATATGTAATAGAAATGGTAGAGAGAAAAAAAAGGAAGAAAAAGTAGTACCTTTCATTTTTGACAAAGATTGTTATGTGAGATAAAAATTAAGCAAAGAGAATGAGAGAGAGAGAGAGAGAAGTAGTATCTTTTTTATGATGATAATTGTAGTGGAATAACAATTAGGCAATAGAGAAATGAGAGTTAGATTAAATGGAATGTGGAGAGATGTAATATATAAAAGGTAAAGGAAAAATATGATAGAAGATAGAAACTTAGAAAATTTGCCACATAGACAAATATGCTTACATAATAACATATAAAATTAGTTTTATAATCACATGTCAACGTGATAGAAAGTATCTTAGCTTTTATATTGACAAAGATTGTCATGAGATGAAAATTAAACTAAAAGAATGAGAGATAGATTAGGTAAAATGTAAATGTGTAATGTAAAGGGTAGAGGAGAGAGAGAGAGAGAGAAATAATATCCTTTTGATAATGATGATCATAGTAGAATAAAAATTAGATAATAAAAAAATGAGGATTAAATTAAATAGAATGTGAAGAGATATAATATATAAAAAGTATAAAGAAAATATAATAAAAGATAGAAATTTTAAAAAATTTCCACATAAATAAATATGATGAATGAAAATATATAAAATTAATTTTATAATAATATATCAACGTAATAGAATATATATTAACTTTTATATTATAAATAGTTGGACGATATTCGAATGCTCTAACCCTAATCTATCCACATTCTTACACTACTTCATCTTCCATTCTCACCCTTCCAATTAGTTTTTTTTCCCTCAGAGCAATTGATCCATCATGCAAACTAATTGAAGCTGCAATTTATCTTCTATTATATCTTTGCAAACAAAATGACACTACAATTTATCTTCTATTACATCTTTCGTATATGCGCTCTATTACATTTTTTCTTTGTTCTATATTATCATTCCTAATTTTAATCTAAATTAACATGTCCAATCATTCACTCTTATTTGAAATAAAAAATTATTTTAATTTTATATGTAAAACTAGTAAATTTATTTTGGAAGTTAATTAATATTTGTCAAAAAAAAAAAAGTTAAATATGTAAGCAGTTATGAAAGAAGAAAAAATAAATCTTCCTGGATCATCCCTGCCACTAACCTCAACAAGTTGATGTGATGTGAAATTAGACTAAAATGAAGAGGTTGGTTGGATTTTGAAAATTCAGGAAAGTGAGAAAATGAGTTAACCCTACTCTCCTCACTTTCACTCACTTGTATGCTTTTTTGAATGGATGCTGACTCGATATTTCTTTTCTTCCATATTCAATCACAGCAAGTGCAATTATGGTATCTGCTTTTCTCACTTTTTTTTTTATTTTATTTTTTATTTTTTTTTTTAAGAAATTGCTTGCAGGTTTCAATAAACTGCGATCTTTTTCCTTTGCGATAATGCGTACTCTGCTGCTTGACTAACGATTAGGGGCTCATATTTGACATGCTATGCTCACGCGGTTGTTAGGAGGAATTATTAGACTGTGGTGGAGCATATCTTTCCTAATTAAACTCTACAAAAAGATTTAAAACTAAGATGCAGGTGATCATCTTTAGAGAAGAGTAATGATTTTCTAGGGCCCATGTGGTGGTGATAATATTATAAAGGGTTAAATTCCTTCAATTTTTTAAAATTTAATTTTTAGTTTCTCTTAAAAAAAATTTATCAACTTTTAATCTTCCATTAATTTTCTGCACATAAAATAATGCTTAAATGAAGTCTCAATTATTAAGTAGTGATGTGTAAATCATAAAATACTTTATTATTAATATTTACATATTGTTAATAGATATCAAATCATTCAAGATTATAAGGTAAAAAATTATTTTAATAACATTTTATATTTTCAAAAAGAATCTTGTCTTGTGTATGCAGCCGCGTTAAATCTTGAGGCCAGCTATCCCACTCTTTGAAGTGCCTCCAACGTAACGAGGAGATTAATCACTACTGTCGGCGATGGATACTCCAAGAACGAACCTAAAAAGTAAATAGAAAAAAATGTACATGTCATATAATTTGACATCTAATTAAATAGTCACGAAAATATTAATAGTCGATTATTAATTTATTAATATACATTAGTACTTAACAAAAGAAACTTACCTTTAAGAAATAATTTAGGCAACAGAAAATTAATGAAAGATTAAAAAATTGACAAAAAAAAATTCAAGGTCTAAAAATCGAATTCTTGAATAACTAAAAACTTATTTAATCCTATTATAAATATTCAATTTTCCTTATTTAGAACACGAGCGCAATATAGTATGAACATCACAACAATTCAGAAGCATCAAATTTGACAGTTACATAATAACCCCTCGCCCAAAGAACTAAATCTCTCTAATTGATGACAAGTGTACATTCAACTAGATTTTACAAGTTGGCTTGACATCAAGTATAACATCCCTTTCGAGTGGCAAGACAAAATTGAAGTGAATGTTAAAAGATACATTACTCTAAATCATAAGCTATGCAGTATGCACATATAGGAAGAATTTTGGATATTGGATCCCCATGGAGAATATCAAAGTAAAACAGGAAAATTTCATATATTGTTTCTTTTGGCATAGCTTAATTACTCAGACTATACTAGGAGGATCCCCTGACCAGCTGCAAACAGCACGGGGCCAGCGCGTCCTTATGCAATCTACCAAAGGTGCATGCTGAGAAGGCTCAGGTTTAATTACTTCGCTGTCCTTACCACAACATTCATTTGCAATAGAAGCAGAGGAAACCGTCACATCTGCCATAAATTCCTCAGGCGTCCACCTTGGGGGGACTGAAACTCTCAATTTTGTGAGCCTAGGTCTTTGTAGTGTTGTTTCACCCCTAAAATTTACTTGGCTGCTATTCAGATCTGATTTAGCAATTCCGTTAAAATGGTAAAGATCAAACACCTTTTTACCCATCAATCCTGATGAATCCTTTAAACCTCCCGAGCTCCTGTCTAGATCCAAAATGACCTGCCAAAACTCGCTCCATACAATGAAGCCTGTACTGCAAAGGTGTTCGAGCTTCTCTTGTGGAAGTTTGATATTTGTTTCTCTGAGAACCTGATGGAACCCATCCACACCAATGAAACCACCACCTCCGCTCTGATCTTGCGCATCAAAAGCTTTGCGAATCTGTGATTCCCTTTCTTCCAGCTCATTCTCATTTTGAACACTGGTGTCAAGAGCAAACAGTACTGTGTAATGGGATTCACTGCCAACAACCCATATAGGCCACCTTGGGCATTTCAAATACTGACCAACCTTACAGAAACAAAGGGATTCTAGCAATGTGAGAAATCCAACTTCGACATGCTGGGAAATACCTTTCAAAAACATTCCTCCACCTAAATCCATTCTCCCATCAAAGACGTTAGGGACGGCCTGCCCACAGAGCAGTAAGTTTACAATTTCCTGCAAAACAATATCCAGCAGAAAAAAAAAATAAAAAATCAGATCTTCCCTGGAAGAGATTCTAAAATGTACAGCAGTTAAAAGGATAGCAACATTAAATTATCTGTTGGTATATACCTGAGAGGCATGTCCAAAGGGAGCAGTAACCAGAGGTTGGCTGGGATCATCCCTGTCTGTTTGAACCAAGTCCTATAGATGAAAGCATGATATTCCATGCATTAACATGAGCCCATTTTATAAAAAATAACGACCAATGCAAATTAAGATCCTCCTTTGCATTGATAGCACTTAAGTGGCTATTGCATTCCACCATATGTATGGTACACAGGAAAAGAAGACCCATAATTTATAATCATGTCAAAGAAACTGAAAAAACATTTTATTAAAAGCATGAAGACAGGAATCTTTAGCTTCCAAGATATAAACATCTTTGGACAGACAGCCATTCTCACATTAGCTCAAAATTTAAGAGTATATGAACTGGACACATTCTGAATTTAGCTCACTCAGTCAGAAGTTGCTTACAAGTTAAATGTTAGAAATCTTGCAATTATATAAATATTGAACAAATGCCGAAATATTGTAATTAGGATAGTAACTAGTAAGGCACACGGATTATGTAACTGTTATCCATTGTATTTATGACTAATTATAAATGAAACCCTCTAGTATGAAGTCAAGACACAGATTCATTCACATGATCATAAGAACCTCACAGATATCGATCAGTATCAGAGCTAGGTTCAAACCCTAATGCCCCTGGTCATTCCTCCACACCAACTTTCACTCAACCACTGCAATTGTATATATTGTTTTCACCATGGAGGCTTCGACAGTAATGGCAGCACCTGTCACCCCATATTCCATTTTTGTGAAGCTAATCACCATTGTTATTGTGTCATCAGGTAGAATCAATCATCAAAGGACATTGACTTCACCATTATCTTGTCAACAAGATTATTCCATAAAAAATTGTTAGTGGAAGAGTGTGAAGCTAGTTGAGTATCAAAAGAATCTGTCACATGGGAGCAGCAAGATCAATTGCTTCTATCATGGTTTCAGCCATTAATCTCTGGCGAGATGCTCACTCAAGTCATTGGATGAAAAATCTCATGAAAGATTTTGGAACAAAATTCATGCTTATTTCTCTTTTCACACCAATGCTTGCTCAACAGCTACAAACAGCTTCGATGTACAACACTTGGGGATGGATTGATTTCAGAATATCTACCCAGAATTCAAGCACTTGTTGATGCTTTACCTACTATTGGAGAAGTAACTTCAAAAGAACACCATAATGTGATTCTTTGAAGGTTTGCCTGAAGAATATGAATCAACAATATCATTGATCAGCAACAAATTTGATCCATGGAATATAAGTAAAGTAAAGCATTGCCTCCATCAATGTAGCTGAACCTGCCACATAAAACCCTCATCACTACAAGCTCCACCACAAGCCAATGTTGCTAAACAGCCTCATTCGATTCATCAATCTTCAGTTTAATAACTGTGATCAGTTTTCTCTAGTAGATGCGGTTGTCATTTTGGGCAAGGAGGACAATTGTTAGAAACCCAAGTATCATAGTTAGAGATGTTCAATTAGAGCACTGACCAAATTGGTAAAAATAGCAGTCCCAGCCTTAGGATTGTTACCAGAGGTAGATCTAGCAATAGGTGACAGTCGGTAAAAGAAATACACAGGAAACAAGTATTAAATGAACATGTATCGAGGGTACCCAACAAAACCGTGGGCCAAATCAAACAAGTGACAGCAGAATCTAGAAAGACAAAGAAATACCCCACTGGTGCTGCAATTGGAATCTGGAACTGCTATTAGACATGCTGCTAGGTGTGATAAGGAGTGGCAACACATGAAAAAACACACCTGGAGGTGACACACGTAAGGCTTCCATTCAGATTGGGTCTACTGAGGATTGGTTGATGCGGCCTTATGACACTCATTTGGGATAATCAAGAAACTTTTCATATTGCCTCAAATTCCATGTTTCAAGAGAGGACTAGACGTATTCAGATAGATTATCATTTCATTAGGAGAATATCTTATCCAAGGACATCATTACCTGTTTTGTCAAATCCAAAGACCAACTAGTGGATGTTCTTACTAAGTCATTGCATTCCTCAAATAGGAATCTTGTAATTGTCCAATATATTCTTACCAAGTCATTGAGATGCCTCATTTTTTCCTCTTAAGTAAATTACCCACATCAAAGTTGCCAAATTTGAGCAAATATGAAGTAACCACACCCAATAAATCACTTAGCTAGTAATCTGATTTGATTTTTTTTTTTAATCTTTAATAATGGGTACAAAATGTCTGGTGTGGAGACATTCTAATATTCAGTGAAATAGCATTCAAACCTACACAAATTCGGTCAAAAACATAGTTCATATTTTGTAGGTAGAATCAGGAATGTCTAACATATTTCCATAAAATAGGAAAGAACTAGAGATAGAAGAAAGATCCCAAGTATCTCACACTTAAAAGACAGTGAACTCCTAAGGCTGCCAATTGCAATTAGAAAACATACCAGTCCCCGAATGCCTAACATATTTCCATAAAATAGGAAAGAACTAGAGATAGAAGAAAGATCCCAAGTATCTCACACTTAAAAGACAGTGAACTCCTAAGGCTGCCAATTGCAATTAGAAAACATACCAGTCCCCGAGAAAGTAAAGCAGAGATCAGGAAAAGCAATGCCCCCATACGACTTTGGAATAAGGGAATCACTGCTTCTAGCCTTTTCATTGCACTTGCTTGCAATGTGTATGTTTCAACTCTAAGAACTTTTTGCAGATCCAAGGCTGATTCAATTGTAAGACCTTCAAGTGCTTTTGTAATAACCTAATCATTGGACAAGACTCATGTAAATAAAAATATCATTGCAGAACAAAAGAAGAATGCAGTACCAAGATAAAAATTTCAATTCCATCTATTGCTAACAAGGTGCTGCATGAATCACCAGTATCAATAGAACATTCAAGCTACCTCATCATTTGAAATTTCTTCAGAATGATGAATGCAATTCCCTAAAATGTTCAAGGTTGCAATCACAGCCCGCTCGTTATTTCCACACATAAATAATATTTCGCACATGCTTCTTACAAGGGCACTGCCAGAAGATTATCAAAATATTAGCAAAAATTAGTCAAGACGAAAGCATGTGTGCAACCATGAAAGAATACCTGCGAACAATAAAGTGTTAAACATAATTAACAAGATTCAAGAATAGAGCTTTAACCAAGTCATGTTGTCAAACTGGCAGATGAAAAGAGAAAGACATTGAAGAATAAAAAGCAAGCCCTTTTTTGTTGTGGTTTTGATTCAATTAAAAGATTAGGTCCTACTTCAACTTAATGTGGTCAAATGAATAATATCCCATAAATGAAATACAATTGATTAACAAAGGAACCCAAATATATTGATAATAAAGTTAGCAGACAAATAAAAATGTTGGAAATAATGGTATTTAAAGTACTTAGGAAATAGTTATGTTCTTGTATCACATAAAATGCATTTAGTACTCATGGGTATTAGCATCTAAAAAGTTACACCAAATATTAGCCTAGGAAATAGTAGCCTAGGAAATAGTCTCAATTAAGTTTATCAATTGTATATATATAGATGGATATGGATAATATGCAGAACCTATGTGCTACAGACTTGGTTGAATAATAAAGCATTATCATTCTCTAAATTCTCTTTAAAAAATTTCATTCTATCCTCTTCCTCTAAATCTACCCCTCTAAATTCAACAAAAGCACTTATTAAGGATTAAATTATGTCACATACTGGGCAGCCAGTTTAATAAAAAAGCACAACAACAGTGCAACTGCAATCAATATTTATATTCATGATGCACAAGAAATCAGAATGTTGAAAGTGGAAGAAATTGATGGGAATAAGCACAAATCACAAGACTATGATAATGTATTTACCCAGCTAAACATGAATGACTGGTCATGAAAAGTTAATCACCTTACTTTTACACCTTCAGTGAGTAAGGAAAAATTATATGATGGAACATATTGACTTTTTAGTAATGAGCCTGGACCACAATTCAGTGGCATGCTTGATACATCTTTCAACTCATCAAGAAAGAAAAGAATGTATTTGAGCACAAATGCCTGCAATGTTAAAGGAAAAACACAAGCAGCATCGTAAAAATATTATGAAAAAAGCTATCAAAACAATCTATAACATTCTCTTCATTATTAAGTGAAATTCATATGGTTCACTAAATAGGGAGAGACCCACATCATTTCATGGTTCACAAATAAATTTCAAACAATAGTAATGAGTGGTAAAGTGTATGTTGCTGACATTCCTCAAATATTCTAAATTCATACCTACAAATAATAAAATGGTCTTTAATGAGGTTGACTACTGTGGACAAATTGGTGCATTACTTGTTTAAATTTAAATTTCAGACTTTATATTAGATATAACAGTAGCATCAACAACAACAATGAAGTCTTTTCTCATGGTATCAGCTACATGAATCAAACGACACCATGATGTTATGTCATAAATCACATACAGACAAATTATTGACTTTTAAATCCTTAATTGTTTCAGCCATAGTTTTTCTCAATCTCCCTCTGCCTTTGACATTTAGGCAACCTTCCATCTCATTCACCCTCCTCCCTGGGGTTTCTACAAGTCTTCTCCACTCTTTTCCAAACCATTTAAGGAGTGATTCTAAAAGTAGAAGTCAAATTAAAATTTGATGTTCATAATAGTTGATCATAAATAAAATATTAAGCTTTAAATAAATAAAACATTGGACGTCAAAACATAATCCAATAGTGACAGACAGCATTCTACAAGTTCGAAAGCACAACTAAAAATGGGACCATTACTTGAATAGCTGCCAAAACGCCACATGGCCCACCTTCATGCTGCACTAGGCCCATGAATGTTTCTGGATCAGAGCTAAACCTATATTATATAGCAACACTTTTATAGTATTAGCAACAGAAAATAAGTTTATAAACAGATTAGAATTTAAAAGTATAAGAAACAAATAATTCAAAATCCTTCTAGAAAAGGATGAAAAGTGCAAAAGCATAACATTCAAATGAAGAGTTGAAGCTAAACATGTATGATTAAGTATCAAACATTGGAGAATGAAACTATTTTATCAGTCATACTTCATCGGATTCGTACATATAACCAGACCTTTCCCATGCCCCACAATGATAGGAGTCTCAGAGCATCTACAATGGGAGTTGCTTATAAGCAACTCCCAACCACTTTAAATAGGTCCCACTGTGCCACGTCACTCATAAACAACCCATACTATATTTTTACAATTTTTACTCCAATGCAAATTGCTTATAAGCATCCCAACGTCTCTTTTTTTTTTTTTATTTCGTTCAAGTCTCACTTTTCACTTTCTCTTTCTCATTTTCCGTTTCTCACCTTCCCTTTAACGTCTCTTTTTCTTCTCTCTTATTCTCACCCTTCACTCTCTCTCTCTCAAAGTTTCACCATGAAAGACCCACCCAGGTGAGACGTGTGGGCGGTTGAGGAGTCCCGGGCGGAGGTCTGGTTGGGCAGAGCTGTGGACGGAGCTAAGGCTGTCTGGTCGGGCGGAGCGGCGCGCGCCAGAGGGGGTCCGGTCGGCGGGAGACGTGCGCGGCTGACGGGCACTGGTCTGGCAGAGAGGAGGTCTGATATGGTCGGTCGGGGTAAGACGCGCGCGCACCAGAGGAGGTCTGATTGGGCATAGCGGCCGGTGCCAGAGGAGATCTGGTCGGACGATTTTCGCGCGACGAAGGACCCCGGAGACGCGCGTGCTGCGAAAGATTTTCGCCACCACCGCCATCCGCTTGGCCAGCTTCGACTACCACACCACCACCGTCGTGCGCGCGGCCAGCTTCCATAACCACGCCGCCCCGGACGTGCTGTCGCTGCTCAGAACATGGCCATCGGAGGGAGTCCATTGAGAGGGAGAACTAGGTGTGGAAGTTTTATCTATTTTTTTGGTTTGCAAAAACATTGTCACTGTCATGTTCCACCTAGGATGAAAAACAGCCAATCAAACCTTTTCATTTTAATTTTCAGAGTGTAAGCACTGTTGCTTCTCCAAACAACAGTGCTAAAAAATTTTGGACTTGTTTTGCCACCTAGGATAACTCCAGTGGGGATTTCTTATAAGCAATGTTGCTTATTTTTAAGATACACCCTAAGCACCCCCCACTGGAGGTGCTCTCATGCCTTAAGCTGCTCCTTTTATTTTATAAATTATGCTCCACAAGATGCACAGAAACAGTTGTTGCTAAAAAACCAATTTTTGCTAAAGACTGAATTTTTATGTAATGTTACATGTGTCTCAGCAGTACCTTTTACATCAAGACTTGAATGCTTCCTCAGATAACTTTGCATGAATTTAATGATTCAATTGCATATTTTATTAATATATTTCTATTTCTTTTGCATCATTTTATTTTAATCCAGATGCATCACCCTCCAAAGGTGGGTATTAAAAATAAAATACTAAAATAGAATACTTCCAAAGGTTCATAAAATCTTCCTATTGGCTAGAAATGAAAGACATACAAAAATTATACCAAAGATATACTACATATATCAACTGCCTCTCAGGGATGTCAAATGTTGATTCCAAAAGCACCAAGGAAACTCAAAAGATTAACAAAAATGAGTTTTTGCATCTGAACTAAAATTTATGAACACTCTTAATGGAATGAAATGAAGAGGGAAAACAAGGAGAAAATCAATTGCCACATCCATATAACTTGCATGGAAAGAAAGAAGAGAATCAAAGGAAATAATATGAAGAAACAAAATCAAGGAATGGGATAGTCCATAACAATTGCATTTTTTTAAACTCTTGCTTTTTTTCAAATGTTGGTAGAAAGCAAAGGACACATAATTATTGAATTGAATTCATTATAAAAGTCTAAGTCTAACCACACTATGAAGGGTCAACTAAAAGGCAATGGACTAGACTAAGGAGAAGATTGAGAAAGACTTGAATGGTGTCAAAAGGATGGTACCTATTATAATTATTATTAATATTGTTTTGTGGTTTTGGTTTCAAAAGCAATTAACTAATTGAGCAAACACTAACTCTATTCATTTTATTCTTTCCTGTTTAGTTATTAGCCTTTTATGGAATATCATTGATGAAAGATGGCAAAAGCGACTTCACCAGCCATTGCATGTTGCGGCCTATTATATGAACCCTAAATTGCATTATGGCCCCTAAATTTAAAGTTGATTTGGAAGTTAAAAAGGGTCTAATTACATGTATACAAAGGAGGGTGTAGAATCCTAATGAACAAACTTTGGTTGATGTTAAAATAGAAGATTTCAAGAATCCAAACTTGATGTTTGGTCATCCTATGGCCTTTTAGGGCAGTTGGTAAGAAGACTCCAACAGCTTAGTGGGAGACTTATGGAGATGAACATCCAGAGCTCCAAAAGTTTGTTATAAGTTTGACATGCAGTCCTTCTGGATGTAAGTGTAACTAGAGTGCATTCAAGATGGTAATTAAGATTTTCATTTGAATTGTAAATTATGTATTAATAATAGTTGAGTATTAGACTATAGTAATTTGTTTAATGATTACCAACAACCATATTTGCATTTTTCTTTATGTCCACGAAAGAGAAGAAACTGTTTGAAGCAAAATACAATGAATAATGTTGTTTTAGTCATGGTTAATTTAAAATTGGCTAAGCTGCCAGAGAAAAAACAAGCTAAAAGAAGATCATCTGAAATTTAGTTATCTGAAGATTTGTTTGATAATCTTTCATCTGATGATGAGTGGATTATGGAAAATTATGATGAAGAAGTGGAAGAGAATGAAGAACTGGATCCTCCAAATGAGGGATGAGGATGGGGATGATGTTCTTTGTGTGCCACCTCTAGATGAGACTCATCTTGCTAATAGTAATATGGTTAATGAAGGACAAGGAGAAGATGTTGGAAGAAATAAGGATATCTCTAGTGATTATGATTTTAATTTCTATGATCTATTTCAGCCATAGTGTTAGTCTATCAAAGGTCTAAACTAGGTGAAGGTGTTTAAAGTTGTCTTGTTAGTTGTTACTGCAGTGCAGTGTTTCAACTTTTTAATTTGTTTTGTTGGTTATTTCAATTCTGTATGGAGTTTAGTAATCGACTTTTTTATGCTTATAAATCTGTTATTATGAATTTAAGCTTAAATTAAGCATTACATGTGTTATGATGGCCTTTTCCCCTCATATTTACCCTATGTTAGATGCATATATAAGAATTTTATAATTTTAGTAGAATCTCAATTTTGACTACCTTGTTTTAAGGCTTTGAAATAGTAATCCAAACACATTACAAGTCATCCAATGATTCAAATTCATTTCCTATTCGTTTTAAACAGGGCCAAATGGTTTATGCCCAATCAGTGTGTAAAATCATCATCTTTTATAACAAAGAATGATTTTTGTACTCCACTTTTCCAAGTACCTAATTAACACTCATTGTTTCTATCTATCTCTCTCTTCCTATCACATCATATCATCTATCATACTTATAATTTTATCTGTTATCTCTCTCTCACTAGGTGTCAAATAAGTTTTTGGGAGGCCAAAAATCATTTTTGTAAAACAAAACGACAGTCAAACGTACTAACAAAAGCCACCAATTTTCAATATTTTTTTAAGAGATCACAAGTATCCTTTCCACCTTCACAGAAAGCAATCCTGGGTAGAAATAGAACCACACTCTCCCTTTGAGTGTGTGAATACCGAAGACTCGAACTTAAGACCACTGGACTCAACCAATTTTCAACATATGATAAACTTTAATTAGTTTATTTTAGAGTGTGGATGCATTTGAATTGAATCCAGCAAATAATAACAAAATGTAAGAAAGAACGAGCCAAACAAACAAATGAACAGCCATAACCTAACCCCAAGCAATCAAAAACTGAAACTACCTTATTCCCTGGTTGCTCCACTGCGCAAGAATCCCCTTCGAGACATCACCACCAAACACCACATCAAACAACTCATTCGCTTCTTCAAGAGAAAGCTCTACCGCACTCCCACCTTCCGAACACTCCTCGTCCCTCTTCTCCCTCCTCCCAACCTCGCCACCGCCTTTCCCCGCCATCCGCTTCTCAGCAGCCGCCGCCATGAGCTCCCGCTGCAACCGCCGGCTCTTGGCCTCCGGCGACTCCGAAACGCCGCCCCCAGCGACGGCGTCCTGCGGCATGCTCCGCTTCGGCTCCGGCGGCGAGTACTGCATGCTCATCCGAATCGCCATTTGCAAATCCTCGTCTTCGCGATCCGCCATTCCAACACCACCAACGAAACTGCGAAATCCCCAACCGAAAAAGAAACCCTAGCTACAGAAACCCTTAGGTTACGGTTTCGGTTTCGCTCGCTCGCATTAAGTGGAAAACCGCGAATCGGAATTTAAAGCCCCGGAGAGGGGCAATTACGGAAAGCGATTTACGCTGGAGAAAACCGGAAGGTGCCGGTGCCCGGCAGCGCCGATAGCCGGTGGCGAGGAGAGAGTGAGCGAAACGGTGTCGTGAGGAGGAGAATCCGTTGTGGTGCGTCCTGTTGAAGGAATTCGTGGTGAATTGACTGTGTGAGCCCTGAGTTGAAACTTGAAAGGTGCTGCGTAAACAGCGTAGTGGGGGTGAAAGAAGAAGTGAATTAAGGATGAAGGTGAGGGTATTTTAGGGATTTTAGTGTCGTGTGTTCTGATTGTGCAGATTTTTTATCTGTCGCTACCGGAGATGCTGATTTTCCTTCATTGAGAGGAAATCGTTTCCGTTTTTTCCGTTTATGGGGGAATTTAAAATACAATTTTTTTTTTCTCCTAAAGAAAAAACTCTAACATTTTCCTTTTTCATACCGATTTTCTCCCAGTTGCTAAAAATTGATTGAAAATGATTTTTTATAATAATAATTAAATTAAGACTTAAGAGAAATTTCTTAAATAAGATAAGATGCTAGACTTGTTAAAATTGAATGTGTCTAACATTTATTTATGTATATATGTGTGTTGAAATTAAAATATCCATATGATCCACACGTAATTATGTCTTTTAAGTAAATGAAGAGGAGTTTGATCCTTAAATTTAATTTTATATACGTAAAAGAACATATATTAGAAAAATATCAATTCTTTAAATTGATATAGTTATAGCACTTGAGAAATTAGTCTCTAATAATTTATAACAAAATATCTTAGTTAACATAAAAATAAAATATTCCTTAATGAAGACTTAGAAAACAGAATGTATATTTGCATTGAGTATTAGTTATCTATCTTCGTTTACTATCAATGTTTTAGTTACTTTGTTCATTCATTAGATATTTCTTGTTATTTAGTTATTGGGCTTTTTTTTCCAATTAAAAATTGTCATGGATAAAACATATCACCTCAAAGATTCCAAAATAAAGATTAGGAAGATTCATCCATGTAAAAAGATAAGAGTCATAAATTTAATTATAATTTCAATTCATTATTAAATATTAAAATGCATTAATATTAATTATCATTGTATAAGGACACATATCAGTAGGCATGGCAACGGGGCAGGGTAGGGGCGGGTTTTACATTCCCTGCCCCCGCCCTCGCACCCGATACCTGCCGGGATAAAATTTGGGTCCCTATCCCTACCCTTGGCGAGGTTCGGGTTTCCCCGCCCCGCCCTCGCCCCCGCTCCTATTTTTTTTCTTCTTTTTTCTTTTAAATAAATATGAACAATTTAAAAAAAATAAAAGAAAATTAAAATAATATAAATTTTTACATATAAATATTTATAATTTTGGTTTATATATATAAAAATAATTTTTTAATTATATTATTAAGCGGGGCGGGGGTTGGGTGGGCTTTAACATCCCCGCCCCCGCCCCCACTCCCGATTTTATCAATCGGGGAAAATCCAAACCCGAACTCGATAAACACGGGTTTTTCCCATCCAAATATGGGCGGGTTCGGGCAGGTACCAACGGGGGCGGGTTCAGGCAGGTACCAACAGGGGCGGGGTAGATTTCCATGCCTACATATCAGGACTTTATTTTTTCTATGAACACATGAGACATTGTGTTTCAATGAAGGAGTTGTTCCTTCAAGTAAACCAACAGTCGACTCGATTCAGGAAAATGTGGATTTTATTTTTTAGGGCTTGTATGTGCCATGTTGAGATGTTATTGTAGTTAAACTTCTAGGTCAAATTTCAGGATATAATACTATGAAGGATTAACTAGAACAAATATGGAAACTATTAGTGGGCTATGAAATTATGGATATCAGGAATGATTCCTTGATGGTTAAATTTGACCATGAAGGAAATCATTTAAAGATTATGGATAAAGCTTATAGATGACATTTGATCATTATTTAACGATGCAATCTTGGACACCAAAATTTACCACTCCATTAGCAAAGATAAACAAGTTATGTATGGATTAGATTCCCTAGGTTGAATATAATATTATTATGATAAAAGTATTCACTTGGCTTCAGTTGTCGTACTGAGTAAACCTATCAAGTTTAATAGTTACACCTTGTACATCAAGAGGGGACATTACTATGTGTAGAGGTAAACCTAAAAAGACTTGTAGTAAGGAAACTATGCTTAAAGGGTTTTGGTGCCATGTATGAAGACCTTCACTACATTTGCACCTCATATGATTGTTATAGCCACTTAACAAGGTCATGTAAGATGAAGAGTGATACTTCACATCAACCCTAGGGGATATAGTTGAAGTTTCTACATCCCTTCCTATGGTGGTTCCATCCAACAAAGTTACCCCAAGAAAGGTGGTTGGTGGCAATAATGATTAGAAAATCCAACACAAATTTAGGCTTGATTTAAGTGAGATTATTGGGGCAAAAAATCATGAGTCCTTTCATGGTGACTAATTGATAGTCAAACAAAAAAGAAATAAATAATTGTTTCTCATTTAAAGTCAAGGAGAGCAATGATGAGAGAGCCAACTATGTTAAAAGTTATTGGAGAAAAAGATACACATTAAAATGGGAGGTTGAATAATGTATATCAGAAACTTGCACTTTTAATATGTAGTGAAATAGTAGAAGCTGTGATAGACAAAGTACTGGAATGCAATCAAACGAAGGGGCACAAATATTTTATATTGGTTCATCTCAAATACAGAGACTATGTCTAGTTCTCAATCCAACCAAATTGAGTTCTACTATTTTTTTGCAAGATACAAGTATTATTTACACAAGCCACTTTTGGCTCAACCTAAGTAGACTTTGACTTGCCTCTCCATGAAACTATCCAAGTATTTTTTCAACAAGCCTCTCCAGGCTAAACACCAAGTATTCTTTCAATAAGCCTCTTCAAGCCCAAACCCAAGTATTATTTTGAACAAGCCTCTTCAGACTCAACCCTTACAAAATAAATTTGATGAGAGTTATAAGGATAGCTTCGTCTCTTCTAGACGTGATGTTATGAAAAATACAGCACAAATAGAGTACAAAGAACTATGTACAAGATTTATAATAAAGAGCTTCTTTGTAGTGCTTCAACTTTATTCTTAGAATGTTTGATCAATGTGAACTACTCAGTGAATGTTGATCTTGTTATGTACAACACTTTTCTTCGTATTTGTATATTACGTGAGTTCTCTTCTTGGTGTTTGAAGGCTTGATCCTTATATAGTAGCTTCAGGGAAGATGACCATTATAGCAACATTGAGTTTGAATGTTTGGATTTTTTCAGAATTTGCTTCGTTTGTCTTTTTTGCTAATCCTTGAGATTATCATTGATGCATTTAATGCAAGTATTAAATGCCTTTTAGTGAAGCATGTATCTCTTATCTAATCTTGGCAACTACTTATCATCATTTCTTTCTAAATTGAGCGTAGTAGAAATAGTGTCACAGCAAAGCAATTGAGGTTGGCATAGAACACTCTTTTGTAGTGTCTTTTTCGTGATATATGGGATTTTCCTTTTTGCTTCTCATGGACATTTTGTATTTTTCCTCTTTAATGCACTTCGAGAGTTCTAAAATTTCTTTTTATTCAATCTATTAAGAAATAATACATTAAATGAAATTTGATGTTAGTCTATCATGATAGTGTTCATTTAATATCGTCAGACGGATTGTATGCTTCATCTGATTTCTTTCATCTTATAGATAATACTTATATATTCTTCACCTTTTGTCTGATATTCTTTGTCTTTGAAGAATGTTGACTTTGTTTAAAGAAAATCTTAAGTTTGTCATTATTAAAACTTAAGGAATTGTCTGTAGTCTTAAACAAGATTTTTTTATTTAACAGAAGTGATAAAGGTAAGGGAATTAAATCACATCCATGTAGGAGTTATGTTGGATACAATCTACAACAGGCAAAACATGTATCCACAAGTGGTGGTGGGCCCAACTAGTACCTCTAACCAACATCTTATGGTGTATTCTAATGTTAAACTTGGGAGAATGAGTAAAGAATTGAATAATTAGATTAGGAAAAATCCTTTCAATAGATATTGAACTTATAACAAGGATTTCAAAAGAATAGATATGGTGTTTTCGAGTGAAAAAAATGCGATAAAGCACAACAAGAAAAGTGACAATATTATTTATGACTTGGGCTATGACACTAAATTTATAGTGAAAATGAAGACAATATTCTAACTTTTATTTTGTTCTTTTGTGTTATGAGGAAGGCAATGTGGTTGATCACAATTGTGAAGGTACTAGTGATAATGACATGGAAATTGTATAACAAGATGTTGGCTCTTCACAAGTGGGAAAGGATCAAGTATGGTGGTTAACACTACATCATATGCATCAGATGGCTTCATATCCCACCCTTAGGATCCAACTCTTATTCCTTGCTTATGATGACATTCCAAGACTTCTCTATTATTTATTGGAATATTTGTGGAGCCTTAGGCCATGTTGTAAGGCACCATGTGTGTGGTATTATTGTTTTAAACCATTTTTGTTTACGATATGCATGGATTTTTCAATAAAGTGGAGAACTTTTGGCATTTGTTAGGTTATAAACTTGTTTTTGCTCAAGAAGTTCAAGGGTATTTTGAAGGCATTTGAGTGTTTTCTTGTCAAAATGACCTTATTTTTTGTTGGTTGATAACATAGTTTAAATCATCACTTTTTTATTAAAAGAAGAAAATAGGTCATAGTTTTGTTCAAAAGTGTATGTTTTTATCTATTTATGTAGCTCGATTAGAGTTATGGAAACACTTGGTTAGGTTGAGAGGTCTTATCAATGGTCCTTAGTTTTTTTGAGTATCTTAATGAATTTTTCAGTGGGGTAAAAGATTCAGAAGATTCATTCAATTTTTTGGGGTTAAACTTTTGTCAAACATAATAACAAATTACAATTTTCTTGATATGGATGTGATAGAGAGACTTTTCACTTGGCTTAAAAAAATTCATAATGGAGGCCATGTATATAAACAATTATATAAGTTATTTCAAATCCTAGAAAAGGAAGGTGAATTGTTTTCATTTTCAAGTTACTTGGATTTATCATAAAGATTATGGAGGCTTCCTTGATCAAACTTGGAGAGTTGTAACAGCCCAATTTTCATTGGGCCAAGAGCCCAATTAAGGTGGTTTAGTAGCTCGGAACGGGCCGTTCCAAATTACTAAATAGACCTACTTTTGGTAGCCCAGAACGGGTCGTTCCGTATTTGGAACGGGCCGTTCCAAACCATTAAATTTGCCTATGATTCTTAGTTGGGAACAGGGCATTCCGGATTTCAGAAATGGCCTTTAAACCTTATTGAGAACGAGCCATTCTAGTTTGAGAACGGGCCGTTCTGGATGTGAATTTTACTCATGATTTAAGGGTCTAGAACGGGCCGTTCCAGATTTGAAACGGGCCATTCCAGAGACACCTGAGGCCTATATACAGAGCACTTTGGCACTCTCAAAAGGCACACTTTTCACTTTTCTTTTCTTTTCTTCTTTGCTCTCTTCTTCTCCTTCTACACTCTTTGAAGACTGAGGGGCACTCAGAGCAGGAGACCAAAGAGATCTCTATTTTAGTTTCAACTACTGTTTATCCAGGTACGGGGGAAAAAGGGAATTATTTGTATGTAGAGTTACATGAGAGAATTGGGTAGAGGAAGAGTCCCTTAAGATTATGAGTAATTTTATAATTATTTCTGTTTGAGAAATTGCTGATCCTATTAGATTCTATATGTGTTGAGGATTAGAAATATATATTTAATTTGTAAGAATGATGATCTGGGAGAGAAAAGAAATTACAAAAAAGTGCATGTGAGTTAGGTTTTGAAATAATTGGGGGTTTTATCGTTTATGTTAAGATTATATTAAATTGGTAATTCCATTGAGTATTATATTAATTTATGAATGTTATTGTTATATTACTTATTAAGAATTGATAATCTAGATGTGAATTGCTTGAGGGGTGTGTAAAGCCTTATTTTGTTAGACTTATCTGTTGTGTATATGGAATTGTGTATATGATATGGAATTGAGCTATGAGATAAAATGTTGTATGGATGTGATTATGATTGTGATTGTGGTTCCTCACATCAATGACCAGGGATGGCACGCCCCCTGGGTAAGTGATGCTACAGGGAGGGGGATGAGTGGGGCAATTAACACGTATCACTTATGTCAAATATGGCAACCCTGGCATAGGGTTAATTGCAACAGATTGTGCGGATTGTGATGTGATTGTGGTTCCTCACATCAATGACTAGGGATGGCACGACCCCTGGGTAAGTGATGCTACAGGGAGGGCGTGACCCTGGCATGGTGTGGGATGTGAGGCAATTAACCTATATCACTTATGTCAGTTGTGGCGTGGTCTTGGCATAGTGTTAATTGTAAGATTTGTGTGGATTGTGATGGATTGATGTAATTGAGATGTGAAGATGATGAATGATTGATAAATTATGACATATATAAATGCTTGTGAATATTTCATTAAGTAAGGAGTTATGATGGATTATGTTGTGTTTTTCCTTGTGTGCTTTCCATATAAATGTTTTCTTTTCTCACCATACAATTTGTGGATGTTTTACGTGAGGAAGATCCGACTCTAAGTGGCATCTAGAATGTCAACCGTTGAGTTGTGGGTGTGCTCTGATATTGTGACATCGGGGCAGATAATTATAGGATAAATTTTTATATGTATTTAGAGTGATACCTTCTCTTTTGAAAGCAATTTGTAAACTCTCAAGTTTTACTTTTTAAATTTTATTTTTTAATTATTTTGGTTATTTTTGAAGGTTTTATGTGAATCCAAGTCGATCCAATCGGCCGTGAGTTATGCGTCTACTATGCTTGTTTGGTAGATGAATGATGAAATGAATTGTGGAACTTATTGATGTGCTAATGATGAACAACTATGTTTGTTGTTTATTTAATTGTGTGTACTCTAACAATGTTTTGCTTTATGATAATGATAATGATGATGATATTTCCCTTGTATTGTTAGTGTTGTGCTTACACTTATATTGTTTTCTCATAGTTTGGCTAAAAGACATGATATAGCTTAGTTGATGCTATTCATGATTGCTTATTTGTTTTGATACTTCTTGCTTATGTAAGAAGTAGTGGTTGAGTGGTATCGCTCGTGTTGCGAGCATATGTGCTAGTAGTAGTGGACGAAGCCTTGTGCTAGCCAACTAGAACTATTAGAACCTTGGATGTGGGTGAGACATTGATTTGTCGAGTGTATTAAGAGTTTACGATTGGTGGAGTTTCTCACATCTATAGTTGTAGCGGTTGAATCCAAGGAGGTTGTATGTTGAGAATTGGAGTTTTGATATTCTTGATGAGAGATTGGAACGTTGGTAATTTCCTTGAGTGTTGGTGTTTGCATGTTAACCTTTTATGGTTTAGGTAGCATGTGAGTTTTATTCTCTAAGTCCTTTGTACTGAATATGTGAGCTTTTTGGGTTTAGGATTGTAGTGGAAAGCTTGGATATGAGTTTAAGGTGGAAAGGAGTGAGTTTGGAATGGTTGAGGTATTTTGTGGGATGTTAGTACACTATTGTTGTATGGTATAGGGGATATTTTTGTTGCAGTTTTGTTGTGCCAGTATGAGTATCGTATTGACAGAATTAGATTTTGTGGTCTTCATGAAAGTTGTGGCTTTGGATGTTATCTTTCCAATGGAACTAGAATAAGATAAAACGGAGGTCTAGAACTTTAGTTATAACTGCTTTGGTGATCAGAAGTCTAGTTGTAAGCGCTGAACATATTTGTTGTGTTTTTGAATTTTTAGCTAAGAAGATGATCATTTTAGAATCTTATGCCTTCATAAGAGTTATAGCTTATTCTCTTAGCTTTCTTTTGAGATAGGTTTGAGATCATTTTGGATGAGTATAACTCTTTGTGTGTCATTTGCTTTGACATTGTTGAGGGGAGGTATATGCTGTCATGATGTTTTGAGTTGTTAAGCATAGCAAGGATAGAAATTGATTTGGATATGATGTTCCGAGGTGTTGTCATTGGGAGGTTGTTTAAGATGGTATGATGCTATGTGGTAAGGTTGGTTCATGTACATGTTATATGGTGTAAACGGTGATTCATTCGTACATGCTCAGGGATGGTATATATGAAGGTTTAAAGTAGGTATTCTAATATGATTTGATATGCATGTATGTTGATATGAGGAAAGATGATCTTATGGATCAATTAGCGAGTGTTTAGGTGTTTAATAAGATTGACCTTAGGGTGTGATATCATCATATTAGAGATGAGGATGAAGCTATATCCAAGATAGTTTTAAGTTGTTATCTAAGTGTGATCTTTTATTGTATGAGGTGAGTGTTCTAGGCCCTGTAATTTCTTACGGTAACGTAGATCTATCAAAGATAGAAGTTGTTCTCAAGTGAAAGACACTTGAGTCTATTAGTGAGGTTATGAGTTTTTTGGATTAGCTCATTGTTGTTGGATATTTATTGAGTAACTTTCTAAGATAGAATTACCTTTGAACAAATTGACTAAGAAGAGTGTTGTTTTTGTGTGGGATGGCAAGTATGAGAGTAGCTTCCAAACTCTTAAGGAAAGGTTGGCTTGTGCTAATATTACTGGATTTTAGTAAGCCTTTTATGGAATAAAGTAGTGCTTCTAAGATAGGTTTGGGCGGAGTGTTGATGCAAGTAGTGATCCTCAACCGCATGCTGATGATCACCTGTATAATAATCAAAGGAAAACAACACAAAAAAAGGGAGTGAGAAACATCTCACTCTAGCTCACGGTGTAGGAATACACACCAGATAATCAAACACAAACAAGACATATATATGTACATAACATAGATAGATTAAAAAAAATATGTAGATTTAAGCATAAATCTACATCGGTTCTCTGGAGAACCGATGTAGATTTAAGCTTAAATCTACATCAGTTCTCAAGAGAACCGATGTAGATTGATTTTTTTTTTCAAAAAAAATCATGCTTATTTGCAGGGCAAACAACTCCTAAAACTCTACTCTTAATTTATCAGCATACTTAGGACCTAAGTCAAATGGACTAATATAGACAGGTGGTGAAGTAATAGTTTGATAATCCTACATGAAAAAAATAATTAATGGTAAAATATATATGTATTATTATGAGAGTGTAGCTGCCACTGGAATAAAAAATTTAGACACATAAACATATTCAGAACTCGTAATATTTATAAGAAAAAAAGTTAAAATAAATATACTTATCAATGCTTATATCCTTTCGTGTAAAGTTCCATTCTTGTCTCCCACAACTACTCTTAGTGCACGTGCATCATATACTTTATCAATGCTTATATCCTTTCGTTTCATCTACACGACACAAAGCACAATCATGACTTTGACCATTCAATTAATTATTACAAAGTGATATCCACAAAAATTTAAGATCACTAGTGCTATCATCGCTCAATAGGAAAGAAAAGCATTTAAAGCTAGCTGCATAAAATCATATTATTAAGACAAGAGAGGAATATAGTAAAATAAAAGAAATATTAAAACTAATAGTTAGGAACCTCAAGAAATTCATTTCCATACACTCACATTGCTTCCATACACTTAATTGTCAATCTATTTGCAACCGCGGTCTTTAGTTTTAAATTGTGGTTGTGGGTGTAGATGTGATTGTTTGCACAAGGACTTTGATATCCATCATAGTCGTCTGAGGCTATGCAGTTGTTAATTAGAACCACATATCACGGCTGCATTAGAGTTGTCAAACATTATGGTTATGAGAGGGTAAGTCTTAAGTGTAACAAAGCACTACATCACTAGTCCAAAGCAGGTATAAGAGGACGAGTTTCAAGTGTAACAAGGCACTAAATCACTAGGCATGTTAAGTTTGCAACTTTTAATATTCATTCGTCCTCTTCATACTAAAATTCAATCGATCAATTAACAAAAAAGAAAAAGAGTCATAAACTAACCCCACCTAACACTACGGAAAAACCAAAGCCTAGCAGCATATCCATGACTCTGAATAAAAAAGGTGTACAAAAAGAGTAATTTTAATTGAACATGGCAGAAAACGGAAACCTGAATCAATTATCATGCACATCCCAGGCAAATTTAGAAGTCCATTAACCCCATTCTACGATTTTCAGTTTTCACCTAACAAATTTAATACAAAATTATCAGATTCAATAGACTTTCACAACAACTGAATTAAGACAAATGATCACCTGGTAGAGGTCTGCATATGTAATCTTAGGATGCTTTGCCTTCACTTCCTCTATGACACCAGAAAATAAGACCACTCTTAGAAAAACATGGAGATCGACATAGTTCCAACCAATGATACTACTTTGACTAAACAATCAAGTTGGTCCTTGAAGTATCACCTCTCTTAAATATTAAATGGTCTTTAAAATGTACCGAAAACTCATCAAATTAGTCCCAATTATATTTTTCTAATCACTCATGTTGAGAGGAACTGAAGGTTTTAAATGTTTTGAGGAATATGTAGCATATTTTCTAATATTTTAGGGACTGTATATATAATTTGGTTACTCTAAGGACTAATTAGGAAAGAGAGTAATACTTTAAAAACTAAATTGATGGTTTATTCAGTTACTTCTGTTAAAAACATCCTAAGCGAGTTAAATTAAAATAGGTCCGATTTAGCACAAGGCACGACTAAGAGTCCACGACAATATACAAATCAAACTCAAACCTATACGTCCTGCTGTTAATTCAATACTCAAATAACACAAAGTATATGCAAATAAACAAGCATGGAGCACTACAAAATATTAGATAGCAAAATGAAATTGAGTATTGAATAATAATTGTAGGAAATGATAAAAGCGAAGGAATCAGGAAAAGTGATACCGTAGAAATCAATAGCCTTCTTCAAGACTCCACCAGCTTTCTCAGCAACCTTGTTTAGTTGCATTTTGAAAACTCCAAACAACTTTTGGAAACAGAAATCAATCACACCTCAACAATCCTAAAATTTTACGCTCCCAATTGAAGACACGTGAACAATTTTATATTCTACATTACATGTCTAACATAAACAATGTTAAAACGAGAAATTCGAAAAGTACCTGAGGCGAAAAATCTGCTCCAACAGCAATGGCTGCTTCTGATTCCCTAAGCGCCCTCTTCCAATCACCAAATTTTCTTGCATCAGCATAGCGATTCAAATGCTTCTCCAACAACAATAGCTTCTGCTCCTCAGATTGATCCTCGTGAATCCCAGAGAGACACAAGTGCCGCCGTGAATTTTCAACCTGTCAAAACCTACACCAAATTTAAAATCCCAACGTCAGCAAACTCTAATTCAAATCCAAATCCAAATTCAAATTTTCATGTGACAGCATTACCTAAGATAAAGTGAAGCAAGTCTCTTATGCGCTCTGGCATAAGCAGGGTCCAACTTCACAGCCTCAAGGCACTCCCTCGCGACATTGCCGAGCCTCCTGACCGCCGTGAGCGCCGTCGCGCAGTTGCTCCGGCATGCGGTGTTCCCCGGCGAGATGGCGATTGCACAATCGTACAGCGCCAACACCTCCGCGAAGC